CTTATCTCGCGCTGGTTTTCCTCGCCAGGCTTATATACTAAAAAAGAGAGTACCTCGAACTAACTAGAGTTGCCAGGAAAATTCATGATCCTTCTAGAAACTCCAACGCGCATGCTCCCAGCGTCACGTGACTTCAGCTGTCGTAACAATATAAATATAATTTAGCCACGTGGAGAAATACTGACAAGTTATTTTACAGTGTTGTGAAATTTATAATTAAATGAAAATTAAAAAAGATAATTAAATGTGTTGAATTCAGTTATTACATCAACCGGGGGGGGGGGTTGTTTGGTCACACCTGCAAAGATAAACATAAAAATTTAATTTAACGTCAACAGTATATTAGTACGATATATGAATAAACATATATAAAACAATACTTTATAAAATACAGTAATCCAGTAGTTGTGTTAACTATGTATCAATCAAAGAACACAGTACAGCCTCAAATACAATAATGGAGGAACTACATGTTATGACAACGGAAGTCACGTGACGCTAGTAACATGTCATGAGATTCTAGAACGATCGGGGAACATCACGAATAATCCAATATTTGCTAGGCGCCCTCTATTCTTGTATATAAGTGTGCCAGATAAAACGAGAGAATCAATCGGAATGGAATTGCAGACAGAGATAGAGATGGACAATTAAGTCAAGCGCGGTAGTGCGTGAATCGTTCGTTGTGAATTATAGCCTTTGTTTAAGTTAAACTGATTGTGGAAATTAAGTGTATTGCAAAGTTGTATTGAGAAAGAATAAACTACTTTTATTTAAGAAAGGACCTGTATCGCTGAAGTTTCTGGGAAAGAACTTCTACCGGAAATTATCAAACGAGTAGACGTAACATACATATACATGTACAGTGTTCACAATTATACAAGGATAAACTCATTTATTATGCCACTTCAAAACAAAATAAGTCATGTACAAAGTACTATATTAAAATTATTGGATAAACCTATTTAACATACATAATGTACCTGCATATAGAAGTGCATCACTATCTGCAACCACATTTTTTAAAGCTGACACTGTCCCTCCTTCAAGTTTACTCAGCACTCCTTTTTCTTCTGTTAGCGTTAAATTGGTTTGGGTACATCTTGTTTGAAAGTCTGACAAGGGTTTTCCATAGGTATGATCATTATATGTAACATAGTCAGATTCATTGAAATGGGTGCTGACAGTACATGTAGAATATTGATTTATGTCGTGCCTGCACGTAGCTTCTTGATACAATTCTGTGCTAACATCCATTGAAAGGTTCTGTGACAAATCATTATCATGAATGAAATTATTAAAAACCCAAAAAAAATGTACATTTACTCGGAATATTTTCTTAACCTTCCCTAAACTTAAATTAGGATATGAGGAAAAGGCTACGCCTGGTCGACGAAAGCTACAGAGACAAGAAGGTCAAGTAAAAATATGAAAGCTGATTGATGCGGATGAATAATTTGATAATGATCATGATGTTAGAAGGCTTGATAGAAATGAATAAAAACCATATAACTCGAGCACTTTCGAAAGGTGGACCTTTCTTCTTCAAGAAAAAAGGTCCATCTTTCGGAAGCGTTCGGGTTATACCTGTTCATTGCTTTTATCTATTCGAGCTTAACTTTTTATGCAGACGGCATAACATGACATTTATAAAGGATTAAACAGGTACATTCTTCATGCACTTGTCCGTGAATATGGAGCATAAATTTAGTTTTCGGCGATTATTTGAGCATCAAATGATGGTACATG